GATCATGGAGCAGAGGGAATACTACTGTGATGTCCCTGCATGTCCTCACACCACCTGCTGTATTGTGGGAGCTGTAGTCTCCCAGCATGCACTATAGAGCCATTAACTTCACAGAGTATCATAGCATAGGGAAGGCATGAGAATCAGAAGTGTGTTCTCCTGTAAAATATCAAAGTTGTTTTATTTGATGTTTAAAATATTGATTTGTTAATTTTTGGCTCAAAAAATAGAGGTTGTCTTATACATGGTCTGGTCAGCCCCAATCAATACAGATAATGCAAAGAGTGTTGCTGAAGAATTTGGAATACAACTACATAGCTAGATATATGTGTCCCCCTCCCCACCCTTGATTTACAGTAAAAATTAAGAAATTTAAAAGTTTTACTTACTTTTTTCAGCACTCTGCACGCCTTTCTTCTCCATCCTTGTGACATCACGAAAGAGACATTTGGAATTCAAATGTCAAACTATGACTTCCATGGAAATCCCGAACCCCTGAACCGATCTGGGTAATTTTTGTATGTTGGTCCCCTAGGGCTATCAGGGGATGTGACTTTTGTGGGGTTTCCATGTGTTTTAGGGATATTTAATGTTAAAATTTGTGTTTTCTGTGCCTGGAGATAATTGAGTTTAGTACAGTTCCTGACTCAATTATCTCCCAGGCACAGAGGAGGGATTATCTTGTTTTATGTGGGAGTGTCCTGGACCTGAGATCCAATGTAATCGGGTGTATGTTTTTACTGTAGTCTACTCTCAGCTCCAGTGGGGAGTGTCCCTTGCATGGGGACCTGCATATAAGGCCAGTTGTGGTTGCCAATGAATTAATTCCTGCTTACCCTCAACATAGAGCCTCATCTCATGTGGGGGAAACGGCTGTATCAGTTTTGGGATTGCTATAATCACTATACTCCTCTGGGATTATAAGCACTTGCTCTTTTAAGAGCATATTGCTACACTTTATATATACAATAGGTGGAACACACATCTGTAGATTCTAAAAGAAAAAATAGAGCATCATAGTGTAGTATATCAAAATACACTGTAATCAATGGAAATAGAGCAGTATTACTCACAAGCCTAGAGCCAATTTTGACATATGGCTCTTATGTGCAGCACAGTGGGACTCTTATTAGGATGTCCCCCTCCCTCTTGGTATTCCTCCTTTGGTAAATTGGAAGGTGGTAGTAGAAGATCACAATATTCCAATATGTTTCCAATGAGGGCACTTTATTGTGGTAAGAAATGATTAAAAATATTCCCAATAAAAGTTAAAAATGTAGACAATAAGTCCAATTAAAAAGTCCAATATATAGACTGTATAAGTCCAAAACGCGTTTCGCCCTATGGTGGGGGCTTCCTCAGTTGGTATCAGTCTGTATATCAGATGGCAGCTTCTTGGCGTCCTTATAAAGCAGAAATCTTCTTCTCTTCCGGGTTTTCTGTGTGTGGAACGCATCATGCATGTATAATTTGTATCTCTATTCAAGTGGTAGAAGGGGTTTCTACTTAGGTGGTCAGTAGCTATTTTTAGCTACTACACACTTTTTTTTTTTTCTTACTGTATCTCCACTACCTCACATTTTTATATTGCTACACTTGTTTGGAGGACAGGTCTACCCTCTGAAAGCTGGGTCCAAGGTAGGTGGAGGACAGCAAGACCTCAACCAAGCTGTAGTGCTGGAAGTTGGGATTACAGTGCTGATGGTGTCTGGTGCGGTGCTTGTGGTACTCGGTAAGCACTAGGAAGCATCGATTGGCGGAGGCACCCAGTCGGGGTGCCGGAGGTCCGCCACATGCCACTAATGAGATATTTGCCCATCCTAATAGTTAAATAAAAGTTAGCTGTGGGATGAGCTTTTATTGTCCTAGTTTTCATATATATATATATATATATATTTTTTTTTTTTACATAACATGTCTTTGTAGCCTTGACATCATGTAAATGAAACTTATATAGTACCTAGACTAGTGTACTATTGAAGGTATGTCTGGGTGCACCTCCACCTATTATGGCATATGTGTGCAGATGCCTGGGACTTACTTAGAGCAGTTTGGGCTACTGTCATCATATACGAAGAAATGCTATGGAGGTAAGTGCGTTTTATACTTGACTCCACAGCACTACTCACCATAGTAAATGTGAGTCTTCCTGAGAAGTTACCGTCACACTTTAAAGTGTCTTTGTGGTTTCTTCATTAATATATATTGTGCTTTTTTTCTGACACTTGCTTAGTTAAACAGTGTATTTCTTTCATGATGGAGAAAGATATATGTGGTGAAAGATTGTTTAATACAAAACAACTCATGCATCATTTGCCCACAACCTGTTGTTATGAGAGTTTTAAGCATCTGCATCATGAGCCGACCACAGCTCAGCACAGAAACTGCCTTCAGGGGAAAATCTCATGTTAATATCTCCACATCTTCTCTACTTTGAGTTTCTATGGTGACCACCATACTCTACAAACCACTGTGAGGTGCAGTTTCCTGTCTGTGAGCGCTAACACCTCCATAATACTCTTACTCAGATTAACTCATGAAGTGTTGCACTGACTGAAAACCAATATTGTTTAATTCCAATGTTCCAGACAATTTCAGCTACCAAGGCTTCAGCACAGCACTGGAACTCTTCAAAAAAGTTTACATTTTCATTTTTGGGATGAAAATGTTTTGTAAAAAATTGTTTCTAGTTTACAATCGGCAGAAATATTGACAGTAGTGGAGCAATGGAAACATGCGGCTGATGGAAAAGGCACTAGTTTGTCTGAGGCACTTGTGGTGCATAGACAGGCGTTAAGTACTCGAGCTTAATCTTACAGTGCAGGTTCATTATTTATATTATATTATCGATTTTTTTTTTATTTTTTTTTTAGACAAGTGTCAATGCACACATAAATTAAGGGCATAATAGAGAGCAGGTAATAGGTAATATTTTGTTAATGAACAATATTTGTGCTAAGGAGATTGGATGCCAGCTGGGGCACTGCACTTTAGGAATAGGTTGAAATTAAGATTTAGCATTGGAGGGTTTGGACACCATTCCACATTGCATTATGGGTACTGAAATGCCAGTAATTTGAAGACCTATGGCATAGTACTGGGGATCAGCTCTATTGTACAGCTCTATAAGCCAGAGAAATAGGTAATAAGAATCTCCTTTAGCAAGGAAAATCCTATACAGCTATGAAGCTAAATGAAGAAAATTAGGATGAGTCTCTCTATAGAACAGTACTTCATACAGTATCTGCAAGTCAAAACAGCTCAACCTCCCTTATGCATCATGCTTTGAAGGTAAAAAGGGTCATCAAAATGCACTGTTCTTATCAGTCATATTTAGTGATAATCAGACAAGTAATAGGAACAAAACGGCTCACAAATTAATCTTTATTTTTGGAAGCAAACTAAATCAGATTTAAAATGAAGCTAAAATATGAATTGCGCAAAGAACAAATAAATCAACGACTATTCCCAATATGACAGGTCAGAGAAAGAAAGAAAATATGTGTTTTATTGACTTTCGGCTAAAACATTATTTCCTACTTATGTTGGCACATTATTTGTTCAACTGCTTGGAAAGAAAAGGCAGATAGATTTTAATAACATATAAAAGTAATTGTAAGCTAAAAGAATATAAAAAAAATTTGGATTTTGCTACAGGTTCTATTTTGGTATATTGACTTGGAATTTGTTCTGATATACAAATAAAATGAATATTTAAACAAAAATATCAGCCAATTATTTTTTTACATGAAAACCCAGTGCTATTTAGGAAGTATTTAGCCTTTAAATATAATATATAGTAGCAGATTAAGCTTTTCTGTAGGTTCGTGGTGAAAATGATCTATATAGATGGACAATATTGCTGATGTTCAGTGCCCTGAGTTTAGGAAACTGCAAAGAAAGAAAAGTGAGATTAGCATTCAATCTAGAAATGTCTGCTAAAAACAAGTTTGCAAACAAGTACACATTCTATGATTAATGGAATTAAAAGAGAGGTGATCAAAAAGTCATTGTATCATAAAAAAAGAGTTTTGCTCTCAGAAGTCAAACGTTACTGCTGCAAGTTTTTAGATTCAGCTGTAAACTGTGAAGTACCTTCTGTTTGCAACTATATACATGTAATAAGCGCATCCCACTGTGTAGTTAAAATGAATTTATATTCTCAAAAATAACATTAGTTAATTTGGGACTGTAGGTTTCCTTTGCAGCTAAAAATGTAAGATTAAAAATATTACTCACCTCCTCCTTAGTGCTGAGTCTCACATGCCACAGCCTCCAGTTCAGCCCTCAGGGATGTCACCATCCAAGCTGACATCACCCGCGATATCCTCCAATCTATTACTTCTCATAGAGAAACAATGTACTGGAGATGTGCATGCTCCTCCAATCAATGGCTGTTATCAGAAGCATTTGATCCCCAGACCGTTTTACTTGGTCTGTAGGAATAAGTCCTTCTAGCGGCCTTTAGGATGACAGCCCTTAGAGGTGGATTTCTAAATTTTTTTAATACCGTATATAGAGAATAAGTCGAGTTTTTCAGCACATTTTTTGTGCTGAAAAACCCCTACTCAACTTATACTCGAGTCACTGTCTGTATTATGGCAACTTACATTGCCATAATACAGACCAGGACCGCCGGGCTCATTACAAGCCCGGCGGTCCTGTTGCGGACTGGCAGAGAGCTGTAATTTACCTTTCCTGCAGCTCCTGTCAGCTCCCTTCTCTCTCCTCCGGTCCGGTCAGCGCCCCTGTCAGCTCAAGTGTAAGTCTCGCGAGAGCCGCGGGGTCAGAGCGTTGCCATATTATTGTGGAGCTCCATAATGCATTTACAAACATTGGACTTTGTTGTAAGTTTTATTAGTGTGGAGCTCAGTGAGTTATTCATACACCCCGTGCATGAAGTACTAATAAAACCCAACATTGTGCGTGCCTGGAAAAGAGACCCACGAAGAGGAAAATAAATCATCGTTACTGAAATTGCTGCAGGAAGAGGTCACAAAGTCTAGCCAGACTATTCTCTAACTGCATTATATCCATGACATTCCAGGAATTGAAAGTTTATGGAAAAGTACAATAATGAATCTTATACTCCTCACCTTATTTAAAACAAAACCATTATGGGCAGACACTTACCTTACATGATGAAGAACTTTGCACTCAGAAGCAGATTAAAAGCCACAGTTTTGGCAAACAGGACTCTCATCCCCAGGACAGTCACACTCCGCAAGTTAACTCTTTCACTTCCTAGTGCTGGAAGACAGAAAAGTTGTGAGTTGTTTGCACACCGGATAGAGAGCTGATGGGAATTGAAAACTAAATTTTAACGTTCATGTAAGATAGATAGTTTAGCTGGAAAAATTCCCTTTTCTAACTTGGCTATTTCAGTTAGTTTATACAATCTGATTTTCAGTTCGTCACAACTCTTTGTGTATTGAATAAACACTCCTGTGTCCTATAGATTTAATACCGCAGCTCTTAAATCAGCTCAATTAAATATTGCTATTTTATAGTGACTCCAAGGAACACTGGGAACACCCCAAGCATAATAACCACTACATCGCACCATAGTAACTATCTTTAACAAATCTGTGTCTGTGATATATATATATATATATATATATATATATATATATATATAGAGAGAGAGAGAGAGAGAGAGAGAGAGAGAGAGAGAGAGAGAGAGAGATTTAAATTCTTCATGCTTTTTGTGACATGCATTATGTTCACACATTTTTTTTTTTTAGATACTTCTGCACTTAACAGACTCTTTATCATTTACATTTCTGGAAAAAAAATTGAATTTGCTTCACTAACCAGGAAGTTCAACAGTTTGTTGGACACATTGCTTCTGTTCTGTACCACCTGCAGCCACATTTTTGTCAAAATGTACTTCTTCTGGCAAATACAAAAACAATAAAAAAATTACAAATAAACAAAAATAATCCCCACACAACCAAAAGCAATAAAACAATGCCATACAGTTAACCTATAAAATAGCAGCAGCAAAGGGTGAATACATTGCAGTCAGGAAACTGGAGGAAATAAGGTACTGAATATTGAAAAAAAGGCTATTTCATGTTTAAACAGATGCTGCCAATAATTAAATAAATCTAAATAAATTTATGAATTATGTTTTTATTCTAAAAACCACTAAATCTCACTGTACTAATGGTGATAAAAACTGGGGCTCTTCCAGTGACTACAGCATGGCTCCTCTACTTCTCCCATAAAGCACAAGTGAGCCCTTTAAAATTTTGATAGCTATAGGTTAGACCTCTCAGTTTAGCCTGGTCACAGAAATGGGATAGCCAAGCAGCAGTCAAGAGACTTGGCTCTAGACTACAAGAAAGCCCCCATTTTTGAAAACTGCACCAAAATGCTACCCCCAGTTTATTTTCAAACCACCCTAAAATTTTTGGCACAAACTGTTGGTATGCTGCAAACTGTAGTTGTGTGGCTTAGATTGCCATTTTAATTAGCAATAATTCTATATTTTTTATCACTGTATAATAACAAAATTGGAATTTATCACTTAACATAAAGTTACTGAACTTTTCCCCAGCTACCGTTGGACTCCAGCAACACATATCATAAACACATATCATCTGGAAGAGTAATGGGGGAGTTGCAGTTGAACATCTTTTTTGCGTGTTAAAACACTAGACTTAAAATATATGAAGAAATTTGTGAAAGTCACATTTTTTTAATATAAGCAAAAGTAGAAACCTCATTGATTATACATTAAAGCATATATAGATCTGTCTATTACATATATACATATATATATTTTTTTACATGAAATAATGGACTTATTATATTGGGCCATTAACATATAAGTAACAAGAAATCAGATTACTACGCCATTGTTCATATTCCACAAATGGAAGGACGTTTACATTCGTCATAATACCTTTATTATAGAGATGGCGTAGGCTGCCTATTATATTTTTAATGCAACTGTAGAGTAATTCGTACATTGTCAATTTCAAATTTCATCTTATCTTTGCAAAACTATTTTATCATCCTCCTCAGTTTATGATTTTATGTGAACTAGCAGCTGCAATTGAGGTACCTTTTTGGTTCAAAACACCATCCTGTTCTGTCACCCATCTGCCTTGATGCTTTGCATGGCACTGTACATCCTCTGCTCCCAACCCTTCAACATAAACTGAGCTGTATCTTCCCTCTGGAGAGAGGACTGCATTGGTCTTCACTGGTCCAACACTTTTCTGGCTGGAATTCATGTAGATTTCCACATCCTTGGGATAAAAGTCTTTTGCCAGACAGGCAGTGATGGAGCCAACAGTCTGAGGTTTCAGCACAAACACAGCGGGTGGAGAAGGCTGATTGTCACCTAGTGCAGGCAGAAAAGGGTGATAGCTGTATAACTGTATTTATGATCATAGTTGAAATTAGAGCTTAGAGCAAGCACATGCTCCATTTTCTTCCTTACTATTTAACAGTTAAGGTATAAATAATCATTTACATTCATCTTCATAGTTGGTAGCAGGTATAATTAATCATTACAACTCACAAATTACTGGAGAATAATTTGCGTTCTACATACTCTTGTGTCAGTGATCAAAACAAAACATGAAATGAAAATAACATCACGCAACACGCGCAGCTTTTGAGCCATGGTTGGGGGTAGTGATCAAGTCTCTGTACTTTCTGTAATCCCAAGACTGTTATGCGACTGTCTGCTGTTGTCCCCAGTGTCCATCAATTTTATCAAAGCACATTATTGTTGTTCAAATACAACCAACAATATACAGAATTGCAATGTCAAATATCATGAGGTATAAGTAAAGGGTTTCATGTGTGCCCATGCACACCCTACCGACGGCCATTTTCTTCTCATTGTTATGTTTAGTTTACTGTGGGAACTTTTATGTGACTGTTTTTTTTTGTGGGGGGAGGGGAGGGAAATGAACAAATAAAACACAACTGTCTTTATAAAACTTGGCAGTCACTAGGCAATAAATTTTTTTTTTTTTTTTTTTCATTACTACATTTTTAAGTAAAGGTTATAACGAAACTTTCTCTGGGTGCACACCTTAATGTAATATGCTGTACACTTCAATGGGGTTAGTTCAAAATCTGAATGGCAAAGTTCAGGCAAAAAAACCCAAACTGACTGTAGCTGATTTATTAAAAAAAATTCAAATCAGTTATTTTAGCCTACATTTTCTGATTTCAGTTCTCTAACATTGAATATTTAGTGAATAAATTGTTGCTAATATTGACACTTGAACTTACAGTCTCAACTGAAATGATCCCTAAGATAAATGAGCTTTGTAGAACTCGGAAACTGGTTTTAGTTTAGTTATCTTTGTCATCTGTTTTTAGTTTAGTTATCTTAGTTATCTGTTTTTAGTGTGGTAAAATTTGTAATACTGTGTGTTTACAAGTTGAAAATATTCTGCAATAAAGTTATTCCTGCGAAAAAACTAACTTTTCAGAAACTGAGATTGTTATACTTTTGGTTTATGAGATTTTATCAATATTAATTGTATGACTTATTTAGATTACAAACAAATAGTGAAAAATACAGCGAACAGTGTTAATGAAACGTCTGTTATTTGACAGACAAAGACAAACCGGTACAGTAGATTCCAAATTCTTTTTTATATAGTAGCTGTGATATCCTCTGTATAAATATATTCCAGTGTTGAACATATTTTCCTATTCACAGTCTCATGCATTCTAGCTCCATGGCCCTAGAGTCAGTACAGAAATATTTATAATGTTTGGCTCACCTGCTTCCACCGTCAGTTTACTGCCTGATCCAAACACCAGCGATCTTGTGTATGTTGCACCAACATGCACAGTGACTCACTGCTTTGTAAAAAAACAACAACTGACTTATCTGATTCCACAACTGGCAAGTAAAACACAAGAGCCATGTTTATTTTTCTTTTTAGAAACGTCTCATCTTTCTTTTTTTTTCTGGTCGGTCAATTATATATTTTATATCTCACATTATGTTATTACAGTGACAGAATCCCAAAGAATTTCAGCACTAAACAGTAAAAGATTTCAAGTATTTTTTGTTTATTGATTTTGTGAAACACGAGTGAGACATGGATGTCTGAGAGTGCAATGGAGATAACCAAGCAGTAACTATATCAGTTATTTTATATCCTGTAAATACAGTAAGTCACATGGAAGCTTTGCTAGGTTATGAAAAGTTCTATTCCTTCCTGTAGATCAGACAGTTATATGTCAGGAAACTGAGGTTATTGTGCAGGAAGTTGCTTACCTTAAACAGTCTTATGTTCCCCTGATACCAATAAAAACAACCCATTTTCATGTGCCTTCTGATGAAAAAAAAAACTATTTGGTGTGTATGTTAGATTTAACCCAACCTGTCCTGACTTATTTCACCTCTTAATCACAATATTAAAAGTTAGGTTTTATTTTTAGAAATACCTAGCCTAATTGGTTGATATTTGCCACTCCACCAGCGATACAGGTATTATTTCTCGCTCTCCTGGCAGTTTGTTTTCTCATTTAAGGTGAGGCTTACTAGCTTTTTAACACTATAAGGTCAGAAATACATGTTTGTGTTCCCGACTCTCTATTGTTCCTTTAAGGAAAATAAGAATATAATGGCCTATATTAAATGAACGAAAGTCTTCAAAAACAAATTTTCAAACATCAACCATAAATTTTTAAACATCACCCTTCTGTAATTATTGTTTTTAGGCCATCATCATGGGTTGACAGACAGTATGCTGATACAGGGCCCAGCTGTGATCTGTGGCATATATGCTATGAAGTCTGTTTTTGAAGATATATATGTCCCCCCTAGCATTGGTGGACACTGGATCTGAGACAAAGCTGTATTGCAGGCCACATTCCTCCATAGCGGCACAACACTGGGAGATAGTCAAATCACTCCCTCCTGGTGTGAGAAAGCCCGGCAGAGCTTATCTAAGAGATTATTTGCTGAAGCCAAGCATGGTATCTGTGCAGTCTTTCTATGTTTATGGCATGGCGTCTGTGTATGTAAATGTGTGTCAGTATGTATCTGTGTATGAGTATCTGTATGTGTGTGTATCTGTATTGTAATGGACCCCAACTGTACTGATGTTTTACCTATGGACAATAATATAACAAATAATATGACAAACCTCCCAGTGGTCCTTTATTCATTCGGACTGTCCAAGTTTTGTGGTCTATTCAAACTGTTTTAGGTTTGTTCCCTGGTTTTTCTAATTTGGAGGAAACCAGGGAAATGCCCCCAGAAAGCACCGTACAAGCACATTAATAGGTACACTTGTACTGTGCTATGTAGTGTAACCTCAAAGCAAACCCCATGTATTAAAGAAGTAAATTTAGTTTCATCATTGCATAGTTATCGCTCTTTCTTTGCTGTACAGCAACGAAAATGGTTCAAGCACATATTTGAATAAAATATTGTTGTTTATGCTAAATAGAGATATTAAGAGATGTAATGTTAACAGTGAGGACGGAACTATCAAAAGTAAAGGTACTATATCTGTTTATGGATATTGGGATTACACACCTCAAACATTTTCAGTGCACTAATCTCAATATAATTTATATTATATATTTTACTATTCAATTGTGTTTTGTTTGTCACTGTTTATATAAACAATTAAATACAATTTAAAATGAATGCTATTAAAGCTATGAATGTTATGGAAGTGTAAAAATAAAAAACTACAAAAATTATAAAAAATACAGAAGCATTTACCTGACATTTAACATCTTACACGTGACTTTATTTCCTTTTTTTTTTTTTATATGAGTTTGGTCATGGAACTGATGCACGCACATGATGGTTGTCTCATAGAAAGTTACTGTGTGTTGGAGTCCATGCAGCCTCTCATGAAAGTACACTAATATGTGATAGTACGCTTGCAGTAGTGTAGAAATACTATTGTATGTTTGTCTATTTTAAGTATTGACTTTGAGCTTATTGTAAATTATTGTGATGCTACATTTGCTCCATACAGTAAAACCAAAGTAAAACATTTACAAACATGACTTATTTAGTTAACAAAAATGCTTTAAACTGAAGAAATAGAAATGTTTTTATTAAACGAGTTATGTTTTATATTATTTTTTTCTGCATCAATCAGTAAGTATTCAATAAACTAGAAATTGTGTAGAGCAGACAAGTGAAATGTAAATGTATAAAAATATTTAAACTATAAAAATATGTGAGATTAATTTTCTCAATATATGTTGTCTTTGAAAAGTTGCAATTCTCTTGACATTTATCTGCATTCCTATTTTAGCTACTAAAACCCAAATAGTCAGTTCTAGTTCCCATCTCATGGTATTTACCATGTATTTAAGAGAACAGGCATATAAATAACGTTATTCATGCAAATACAAAAAAATATACAATATGTATACAAATATAGCATTGTTTATAACCTTATCAGTTGTAAATATTACTCAAACAAAGCTCACTTACTTGGTAGGACTTGAAGATATGTTCCGCTTCCAAAAATGAGTGGATTACACAGTCTAACCCTTGTGACGAAATATTGCTTTTAGCACTTTAATTTTAAAGCCATCAAAGCTAGAACATATTGAGAATTCACTGAGTTTATCCTGGAATGAAGACAAAGTCAATCTATGACATTGGAAATAAAACTCAAATAGGTTTCTGATATATAATAAAAACATTATATAAAGTAGACCAATTATGTTTGAGTTGTGAGCTTTGTGCTTTCTGTAAAATATAGGATGGCGAATTAAGATGGATTGGTTTTAGGCTTAATTTGATAATATAAATATTGCAGTTAAAAGATGCATTTGAGTTTTTTTTTCATATTTTCATTAGATAAAATATTGCAGGTTTTTGCACTGGTTTCAATAAAATATGTATCACCGTGTGCTCCCAATCACTGTGAAATACATCTTGTCAAATACACTAGTTCCATACAAGCCTGAGAAAGGATGTGGATAGGCACAGGTGGGAGCATAAATGTATTTGAAATATAAGATTTTGCTGTATATGAAATTATGAAACCACTTTAAACACAATATATATATATTGCTTTTAATGTGGTTTATATATTTATATGTATATATATACATATATTGTGTTTCAAGTTTTGTACACAGCAACATCTTTTATTTCAAATATATTTATGATCCCACCTGTGCCTATCCACATCATTTCTTGGGCTTCAATGTATATAGTATGTGTATATATTAATTACATTATACATAGTTTCTGAATTAAGTCATTAGAGATTTACATTTCAATTTACTAGGTGGCATAGATATCTACGCTGTTGCTGAATAAATTTAAATTGGAAATAAGCTTAAAGAATTTATATATTTACTATGACATATTGTAGACTGACTTCTGAGACCTTAGCATGTAACCTGTTCTCTTAACCCCTTAAGGACCAAACTTCTGGAATAAAAGGGAATCATGACATGTCACACATGTCATGTGTCCTTAAGGGGTTATTCTACTGGATTTGTTCATCTTAAACTTGAATATTTTTTTGATTTTGTTTTTTACAAAAAAAGTGGCCTCCTCTCTATCCCATGAACTGCAGGTGGGCATGTAATACCATGACTCAGGAGATGTTCAGTATCCTGGAGCGCAAAGGGGTTAATCCTGTAATTCCCCCTTTATTAAAATGTGACCCTATATTTTACTATATTAGTCAGCTGTTGTATCACTATCTACACTATTGGCATATTTTCCATTATTTGAGGATCCCCCAAGTGGAGTGCCTTCAACAGAGAGGTATGGTGGAACTTTTCAGACACCAACTGCTTCTGTTTTTAGAGCCAGATTTAAAGGGCTCTGGAAAGTGTGAGTGTACACCTTTTAAATTTAAACATTTTATTCCACTAATAATACACTATACACTATGTTTTGGATTTCTCTTTTCTGTTTTTTGAGACATACAGTTAGGTCTGGAAATATTTGGAAACTAATACAAGGTTTGTTATTTCAACTGTTTACCACAATAAATTAAAGTTACAGTTATATAATTAATACGGGCTTAAAGTACAGTCTTTCAGCTTTAATTTGAGGGTATTCCCATTCAAATTGGAGGATAATATGTAGCCCCCTTGTTTTAAAGGGAACAAAAGTAATTGGACAATTGACGCAAAAGCTGTTTCATGGACAGTTGTGGGCAATTCCTTCATTATTTCTTCACAAATTAAGCAGTTAAAGGTCTAGAGTTCATTCCAGGTGTGGCATTCACAATTGGAAGCTTTTGCTGTGAATCTACAACATGTGGTCAAAGAAGCTCTCAATGCAAGTGAAACAGGACATCCATGGAAAACAACACTGATGGTCGATCGTAGGATCCTTTCCAAGGTAAAGAAAAAACACTTCACAATATGCAGCCAAGTGAAGAACACTCTCCGGGAGGTAGGCATATCATTATCCAAGCCTGCCATGAAGAGAAGCTTTCACAAGAGCAAATACAGAGAATTCACCACAAGACAAACCATTCAGAAACATCAATAATAGAAAGGATAGATTAGAATGTGCCAAAAAACATCTAAAAAAGCCAGCCCAGTTCTGGAACAGCATTGTTTGGAAAGATAAACCTGTACCAGAATGATGGGAAGAAAAAAGTATAATAATGATCCAGAAAAGTTTAGATGGATGTCGAGCATGCATTTCACTTGCTGAAGACAAAACTTAAGACAGAAAGACACACGAACAAACTAAAAACAGCTGCAGTAAAGGCCTGGCAAAGCATCTCAAAGGGAAAACCCAGCTTTGGTGATGTCAAAGCATTCCACATTTTAAGCAGTCATTGCCTGCAAAAGATTCTCAAATAAAAATTAAGATTTTAGTTATGATTGTGTTAATTTATCCAATTACATTCGAGCCCTTGAAATAAGCAGACCATTATCAAATCTTTATCAAAAACATTATCAATTAACTAGAGAGTATAAAATTTATTTATCACAAGATATTTTAGATAAATTCATTAAAAATAAAGCCCTAATTAGAGATAAAGTTATAGAAAGAATAACAGCGAATCTTGAAAAAATGAAAATGAACTATTATTATAGAGGAAACAGGGCAGATAAAATGCTCACTAGAAAATTAAAGAAAAAACAAACAGATAATAGAGTACACAAATTAAAGATCGACTCAAGAACATTTGTTAACCCTGAAGGAATCGGTCAAGCATTCAATGATTATTACTCCAAATTATATAATGTAGAATCTAGACCTGGAATATAATTAATAGAGATATATCTTGAGAGAACATCCCTCCCGGCCCTTAAAAAATTACAAATAGACCAATTAAATAGATCTATCGCAAAGGATGAAATAGAACACGGCATAAAAGATCTGAAAAAATAAAAGTCTCCAGGCCCTGATGGTTTTCCACATTTTTTTTTTACAAGATATACGCTTCAAGTATCTCGGAAGTCTTAACTTGGGTGTTTAATGATGTTTTAGAGGGAGATAGATTCCCGGAAGAGATGACTAGAGTAAATATTATACCAATATTAAAACAGGGCAAGAATCCAACAGAGATTACCAACTATCGACCAATTTCACTGATTAATGAAATGAAGATATATGCTAAAGTTCTCTCCACTAGAATGAAAACTATTATTAGAGAACTGATCCATCCAGATCAAGAAGGTTTTGTCCTGGAGAGAACCTCAACATCAAACTTTAGGAGGATTATCGACATCTTGGATTATGTAAATAGAAAGGGGATACCCCACCTTACTCTGTCTCTGGATGTAGAGATGTAGAGAAAGCCTTTGACAGGGTCGGGTGGGATTTCCTTGAACTGGTATTGGAGAAGTTTGGTATTACAGGGACATTTTTACAAGCAATAATGGATTTATATGATAAGCCTGCAGCTAGCGTAATTGACCCTAATATTTGCTCCACTTGGTTTGGCCTTACAAATGAAATGAGACAGGGATGTCCCCTCTCTCCCCTTCTTTTTATTTTATCTATAGAGCCATTGGCAGCGAATATCCGAAATTGTAAATAAATAAAGGGACTCAGGATTAACAACGTGGAGACAAAAATTAGTCTATATGCTGACAATATTTTAATTAACCTGACATCTCCGAAAGAATCAATGTTGGCATTAATGAGTGAAATGAAGGAATATAGTATAGAATCTAATTTTAAGTTAAATACCAATAAATCAGTAATAATGGCCTCCAACATTACAACAATAGATATAGACCAGATTCAAGATAACTATAAATTTATGTGGGCTAAATGAAGTATAGAATATACTAGAAGTGGTGAGTGAGGTACAGAGGATGATGGAGATGAACTTTTTAAGGCTTTTGAGACAGACCAATAAAACTTTTATAAAAATGGAGCTCGCATGAAATATCGTGGTGGGGAAGAGTAAATACTATCAGAGAAATTGTGTTCTGCCGAAATGGTCTTACCTTTTCCAGATGATCCCCTTAAAGGTAACATCTCCTTGCATAATAATGATCCAGAAAAGTTTAGATGGATTTGTTTGGAAAGGTAGACCTCCAAGAATATGCAGAAATAGTTTAGCATTGAAAACTAAAAAGGCTGGAATTAATATGCCCTTAGTGGAAGATCTATACAAAGTTAATATCTTAATATATATATAGATCTCAACTACAAAATAATAAGAAAGAATTCTGGTATCTGGTTGAATGGAATATGATTAGTATGAAAAATTGGGAAACCACAATATGGAATATTAATTAATGGAAAAAGGTGGCCACAAGTCCAAAAAGGACACACCAGGGGGTAACCCTAATAAAGTAATATGAAAAAAAGAAGAAGAGAAGTGTGTGTCCCTATAGTAAAGTGAAAAGATGCTATTAATTTAAAAATCTCGAAGATACTTTATTGAATCGGAAAAAAGGTAGAAACTAACATACAAAAATAATAATAGGGAAAATGTCATAGCTATAGCTACTGTTCATGAGCAAATATAGCTCAACAAAGACAAGAGGCTGTAGCCAGGAAAAAAGGAGTACACAAAGGGAGGTAAGAAGGGAAAATGACAAGTACGTATAAAAGACAAAGTACAGCCTGGAACGATTTGATACTTCACCAGGATTAAATGTCAAAATATCGAGGGCAATTGTGAAGCCTGAAGTAGAATCTTGTAAATAGACGTAATCAAGCTCTGCAAAGCAGTGGCTATAGCAAAAGATGTTAGTACAAACGTGTAACCAGTATGTGTCTAACAATCAATAACATAGCGTCACAAATGAATATTTTTTGTTACCATATGGAGGCCTTTTGCCCACTCGGTTATATCGATTTGATGACCCAAAATTTTTTCCCATCTGGGAATTACCAATATTTGTGAGAGAGACATAGATGATACATATTCCATTGACTTTGACAGGGGTCTGCTTAAAATATCTCCACTTAACAGGCTAGATAACCTAAATGCATGCTCATAAGTTTTTAATTCTCAGGTATGAAAACAGTTTGTTATGTGGGAGGGAAAATTCTATTTGTAATCAAGGGAATGTTTTGATATTAGTACCTTCCATAAGTTTTTTTTTTTTATGCTGTGTCTTATCCAATTTCTTAACATGAAGTTTTTTATGTTCTATTCAATTATCTCAATTTTGAAAAAATTCTAAATTCTGTTTTCTAACTTAAACTTTTCTTTAACCTATTATTATTATTATTGC